GGAAAGAAACCCAGAGGGTTAGAGCAGGAATAGACCCATCTGGCTGGTGGGAAGCAGGAGGGGGAACGATGGGGCAGAGAAGTCTTCCTGGGGCTGGTGGTGGCTGGTCCCAACCCCTGCCTGCTCCTTGGGGTGTGGTGACATTCTGGGGGGATCAGGGCCACCCCCCGCATATATACACATACCCCATGGGAATAGGGCACTGAGCCTGGTGGGAAGGGGTGGCAGAGGCCTGACGGGAGGCTGTGAGCTATGCCTGTGTGTTGTTCCATCTCAGTGAGTGTGTATGTAACCAAGGCTGTGTGTGTCTGTCCTCAAGCCTGGGTTATGGGAGTGGAGGGGCAGGAGCAGGGGGAGGTGGCGTTGCTAGGCAGGGTCTGGCTGCCCTTTGGTCTCTGTGGGTGTACAGGACTCCTTGTGTTAGGGTGGGGGCCTCCCCAGAAAAGCAACCTAAGGAGCCCCACTGCACCCCCTTCCCACGCTCCTGTGCACACACACTCTCTGGGGGACCCTGGGCCTGTAGGAGGAAAGGCAGAAGGCTGTTTCCCCAGCCGCCAGAAGGGCCACCAGGCTGGGAAGGGGAACAGGAGCTGAGTCTGGAGCCCCCACCCCTGCCTTTAGTGTGGGTGCCTGGAAGCCATTAGGGGCCTGGGTGGTGCCTGCCCTGCCCCTTCTCAACAGGCTTGGGATTCCTGGAAGGAGTCAATGGCCTGGCCCCCTCCCTGCTGAGCCCCATGCCAGGCCTGGCAGCTCCCAGAGGCAAGAGGATGTGGCAGTAGCACCCTCCCTGCCACCGTCCCAGTTTAGAGGCTGCAGGAAGGGCCCAGCAGACCCCCTTACTCCCCCCCTCCCCATTCCCAGCACTGCTCCGGAGGAGCTACGGGCTGGCATCCGGGTTTCCTGCCTCCTCCCCCTCCCCCGCAGGCCCTCCCAATGTTTTTCTTTTCCAAGAGCTTCTCCTTGTGGAGCTGGGCCAGGAAAATGGGGCGAGGAGGAGTGTGTCTGTCTGCGTGTTTGTGTGTGTGAGTGTGGGTGTCTGCTGATCTTAGGGAGGAGTATCTGTGCATATCAGTGTGTTAGTCTGTACGTGTGACTCTGTATGTGCAGTTGAGGTCTTTCTGTATCTGTATAGCTGTGTGTGCTTATGGATCTGTCTTTGAGTGTATGTGTGTCTGCCCACGGGTCTTTGTATCTGTGTTGCTGTGAGGGATTGTGTGTATGTCTGCAGATGTGGCTGTTGTGTGCACAAATGTCTGGAACGCACATGGACAGCAAGGCCAGCTACCTTGTTGCACACGCTGAGAGACTGAGTCACAGCGAGGGCAGTTGGCCTGCCGGGGATCTCTCAGGGAGTTGGTGGCTATGGGGAGCTGGAGCCTAGATCCATGTAGTTGCTTCTGTGTGCATGACTTTGTCTATGCAGGCATTACTGGGGTTGAGACATACCTGTCTGGATGGGGAGGAGACGTCACTGAATACTCAAAAGTTAAAATGCAAATTCCCAGCCTGCACTTACTGAACACGACTCTGGGGGAGTGGGAGGGCCCAAGAACCTGCATCATAAGCAAATGTCCAGGTGAATCCGAAGGATCCTTCAGGTTCAGAAGCACTGGTCTGCCCCAGTCAAGCCCCAAATTCCGTATAAACTTGACAAGAGCAGTTTTGGAGGAGGGCAGGGGCAAAAGTCTCACTGGAGTATATTTCAGGGAAATGGGAGGAAACTGAGGGGTTGGCCTTAGCTGGGAGGCCAGATGGTGCCTCCTTGGTTCCCAGAGGGAAGCAGACATAGGGATGTAGGTGCAGGAAGGTGGGTAGGTGTGGAGGGAGACTGAGGAGGTTCTCTTCTGGCTGCTTCTATTTTTTATGTGAAAAAGGGGGCAAAGTTTGCCCAGGAGAGTGGGAGAATGAACAGACCAGGGAAATGTAGTCGGGTCACCAAGCAGCACTGAAGAACCATGCGACGTAATGGTTGTGAATTTAAAACGCTCTGCACCGTGGTGTAAAAACCCGCGACTCCTGGCTGTACAGGTGAAGGCAAGCGCCGGCAGAATGGTGGAGGTGGCTGGGGTGGCACTTTGCCTGGAGAGGCAAGAACTGAGCGAGGGGCAGAGGCACGGAGGGTGTCTGCATGGGAGACATCAGGGGCAAGATCTGGAGAGAGGGGCAGAGGCGCGGAGGGTGTCTGCATGGGAGACATCAGGGGCAAGATCTGGAGAGAGGGGCAGAGGCACGGAGGGTGTCTGCATGGGAGACAGCAGGGGCAAGAATTGGAGAAGGGGCAGAGGCGCGGAGGATGTCTGCATGCGAGACATCAGGGGCAAGACCTGGAGAGAGGGGCAGAGGTGCGGAGGGTGTCTGCATGCGAGACAGCAGGGGCAAGAACTGGAGAGAGGGGCAGAGGCGCGGAGGGTGTCTGCACGGGAAACATCAGGACCATGGAATATGAGCTGGGTAAGGGGAGAAGGGACATGGAGTGGGTGTGGGGACAGTGAACAGGTGGTGGGATCAGTGGGCTGTGGCTCCTTTCGGGATTGAAGAATTTTTGGAGTTGGAGCCCTAGAGGGAGTGAGCTAAGAACTGACACTAGAGAGGGGTCACAGCTATTGGTAATGACAAAGGATGTGGCCACTGGCATGATCAGGTTTGCATATTTAAAAACTCTGGCTGCTGTTGCTGAGAATGGATTTGAAGGAGGCAAGAGAATGGGGGTGGGGTATGATGGCTGCAGTCACCCAGGAGGGAGACGGTGGTAGTGGTGGTGATGGTGGCTTCAACAGGGTAGTGCAAGGGGAAGGGTGGATCCAGCCATATGACAGGACTTGGTGGGGTGGGGGAGGAGCAGGTGGATTCCAGGGCGTCCCCCACTGCGTGAAGGAGGAAGTACCTTTCTCTGGTCTTCCAGAAGGAAGAGCTGGTTTTGGCGGGAGGAAGACAGTGAGTCCCATTTTGACTAAGATGAGTCTGAGGTGGCTATGGGACATCCAAGTGGAGGTAGGGGAGCTCCTCTCAAGGGCAGCCTGGGCTGGAGTGAGAGATTTGGGACTCACCAGCCTGCAGTGGTTGTTGAGAATGCGGGGGAGGGCAAGATGACTCAGGTAGGGGGCAGTGCGAGAGGAGAAGGGTGCCTGGGTGCTGCCCACACTCAAGGGATGAGCCTGGGGAGCTTACCAGGGAGGCTGATGAGGAACAGTTGGGAGAGTGAGAGAGACCCAGAGAATGAGGTGTCTCGAAGAGATGTAAAAAAGCAAGAGTAATAGACAATTCTAGAACTACAGAGGGTGCACTGGCAAGGACTGAACTATGCCCACTGAGTAGGGCAGTGGGACTGGAAGCCAGCCTGGCAGGGGCTGAGCGTGAGGGAGGTAGACAGAATGCAGAATGGAGACGGTGAGTGAGTCTGGACCACTCTGGGGAAGTTGGGCCTTGAAGCGGAGGCAAGAGGGGAGAGAAGGTTGGTAAAAGGGAAGTGCCAGGAGACAGTCAGCAGGAGTGAGGCCCCCCTGCGGAGGTCATCATTGTCAGGGGTAGGGGTGGTAGAGTGGTGGGCCTGGGACCCAAGGAGGGAGAACCCCCCTGTCCTCTTGGGGCAGGACATAGAGGGAGTGCCAGTCTGACACCTTCCCTATTTGTTGCCAGCTATGACTAGATCATCTGCTGAGTGAAGGGTTAGAGATTGCAAGGGGGTAAGGTTTTCTTGGAAAATAGGAGAGTAAGCCAACAGAAGGAACATTACCCAGGCAGTGTTGGGGACCAGCTAGTGCTGAGAGTTCTGGTAGCAATGTACATGACTGCTTAGAAGAGGAAGGGAAGGAGATGGGGACTCAAGTGAATGGGGAAGGAAGGGCTTGATGTCCTGAAGTGCTAGTGGAGGTCAGCCTGAGGCCACAGGGCAGGACTGGCCTAAATGGAAAGAGAGTGGTACAGGTTGGGGACAGCAAAGGACATCTTCCTCATTTATTTTAAATGGAGATGTGGCCCATGAATGGCAGAGCCCAACAGTGGGCATGGGAGTACTGAGATGAGACACAGGAGACAGGGAGAGATGTTTGCTGTGGATGAGGAGGTCAGGGAGGGGCTGGCTGTGGCAGGGAATCAAGGAGACACCCCCACCCCACCCCCAGCTAATAAGAGACTGGTTCATTTCCATCATATCACCAGTGCGTGCGTTCATTTGACAAATCCTCACCAACGTTGCGATTTGGACTCAGATGTCTGGATCAACTCGGGCTTTAACCTCGCTGAGTGTTCGTTTCCTTTTCAGTAAATGGTGATAATATCTTCCCTCCAGTCTGCTGAGAGGAATCAATGAGATAATGCACGTAAAGGCCTGGGCACGGTGCCTGGCCTGTAGTCAGCCCTTCATAGATGTCACTGTCATCATCACGTGCTGGGGCGAAAAGAGTGGCCAGGATCCAGCCCCTGCCCTCAGCAAACTCACAGGCCGGGGTGGGGACAGGGAGCAAACATGGACCTGGGTAAATGGTACTCCTGAGGTTAGTGCCCTTTTGGAGATACTGGCAGGGACTAGCAGGCCTGGCCTGAGGTGGTCCAAGAGGGCTTCCAGGAGGAGGTGATATCTCAGATGAGTTTTAAGGAGAGAGTTTTCACCCAGGGCAGGGAGGGGACTCCTGGCAGCAGGCTGGTGGAAGCAGAAAACAGCATGCTGAGTTAGGGGTGGAGGTGGGGGTAGTAGTGCTAGCCCCTCGGTGAGGGAGATGGCACCGAGAAGTTCAAGCAAAGCCGACCAAGGTTTAAGATCAGCCCCTATTGCTACCGCAGGGTGGAGAAGGTACTGGAGGAGGAAGGCTGGAGGCCAGTGAGGAGGAGGTTGCAGGCTCACCACAGTCCAGCCTCACTGGGGTTCTGGAACACACTACTTCCTCTCCTCTGGCCTTTGCCCACACGGTGCCCTCTGCCTGTACCGCCCTTTGCATGGCAGACATTATGGACGGACCGTGGCCACACCACCTAATAATGGTTGTGTTCTCCCGCAGGTCCGAGAGGACGTCCCCCCAGCCAGTGGCCCAGAGGGCAGTGGGTCGAGGTGTCCATCATGCCCAGTGGTATGCCATCCCCCAAACGCACCCGGCGCCTCCCCTGAGCCCAGGGCCTGCAACCCGCCCGCCTAACCGTACCATGAGCCACGGGCCAAGCCCCCGGCTGGCTGAGTCCCCGCAGCTGTCCAAGGGCAGCCTCCTGACCATCCTGGGCAGCCCGTCACCCGAGCGCATGGGGCCGGCCGACTCGCTGCCGCCCACGCCGCCCAGCGGGACGCCCTCGCCGGGCCCCCCTCCTGCGCTACCCTTGCCACCGGCGCCCGCGCTGCTGGCAGACGGGGACTGGGAAAGCCGCGAGGAGCTGCGGCTAAGGGAGCTGGAAGAGGCGCGGGCGCGGGCGGCACAGATGGAGAAGACCATGCGCTGGTGGTCAGACTGCACCGCCAACTGGCGCGAGAAGTGGAGCAAGGTGCGCGCCGAGCGCAACCGCGCGCGAGAGGAAGTGCGCCAGCTGCGCCAGCGCCTCGAAGCGCTCACCAAGGAGCTGGCGGGCGCGCGGCGCGAGCGCCAGGAGGCGCAGGGCGAGTGTGAGGCACGGGGCCGCGAGCTGGCTCGGTTGCGGGGCGCCCGGGGATCTGCCGACCGGACGCCCGACGGGGAGCACGAGCCAGTGCGCGACATTGGGTCGGAGAGGCCCCAGGGCAACCAGGTGCGGGGCAGGAGGTGGGGCTGCGGGGCAGGGGCGGGGCGGTTTGGTTCTAGGGGGCGGGGTTGCTAGTCAGGAGCGGGTGCTGGTCAGGCCAGGACTGCTGGGCAGGGCCTTTACTCTTGGACCTGGAAGCGGGCAGAACCTGGGCAGAAGTGGGGCTGCAGAGCTAGGAAAGGAGCTAGTAAGGACCTGGCAACCTGAGAGGTTTCAGTCCTCTGCATCGGGCTCTGCCCCGCAGGGCCACAGATCGCTTCCCTTAGGAGACCCACAGGGCAGAGAAACCTGGGCTCAGGTGTTCCCTCCACTCCCACCTGGAGAAGTCAGGAGAACCAGGACATCATCCCCATTGAGCAGGAGAGGGAACAGGACGTGGCCGGACAGCATCGAGTTAATAAACCAAAAACCAAACCCATGCTGTCCAGTGGACTCTGACTCATAGTGACCCAGTAGGACAGAGTAGAACTGCCCCATAGGGTTTCCAAGGAGCAGCTGGTGAATTCGAACTGCTGACTTTTTTTGGTTAGCAGCCATAGCTCTTAACCACAGCGCCACTAGGGCGCCATCGGTTAATAGCACAGCTGAATCCATTCAGCCCTTCAACTTGAATTTGGTCATTGGGGCACAGGGAGTACAAAGGAGGTCCCTGACCCAGGCTTTAGGGAGGGAGCTTCACAGAGCTTTCCTGGAAGATGCCACATTTAAGCTGAGACTAGGAGGTTGACCATGATTAGCCGTGGAAAGTGCAGGAAACCATTCCAGGTGATGGAAACTGCCTGGGCAAAGGCCCGGAGGAGCCCCTGGTGAGTCTGGGAAACGGCGGTAATGACAGCTGTTGACATTCAGTGGATGCCTTCACAGAGCTCAGAGCTGTTGGAGTGGGCATTATATTAATCCTCATTTAGTTCCTAGGGACATTATCTTACTTAATCCTCACAGCAACCTTGTAAGGTATCTGCTTTATGAATGAGGACTTAGGCACAGAGAGCTTAAGTACCAAGGCCACCGAGCTGGCAATGAGGAGCTGGGGTTTGAACCAAGGTGACCTGGCTGCAGAGTCCATGGTAATAATCAGTGTGGCTGGAGCATTAATGGTGGGCGTGGAGGGCAGCCTCCCCCGAGCAGGAGACCTGTCCCCAGAAAGCTGCCTAGGGGCAGAGGCCAAGTTCACATTCTCCCCACCCCTATCCCTAGAGGCCCCAGCTCCCCCAGCTAAGACTCTGGGCTGCCTCCTCTCTTCTCCTGCCCAACCCCTTCCACCCCTGTAGACCAGCATAGGCGCTGCTGCCTCTTGGAGGCTGAAGCCCCTTTCCCACTTGGCCTGCCTGGTGTTTGGAGGTGGCGTTCAGTGCTCTCATTTGGGGCGGACGATGAAAGGCCCATCAGCCAACCTCATGCACCATTCTGACCCATGCTTGTTCTGATTGTCAGTCACATCGAGGAGGTGGTGTGTGCAGTGGTGGGAGCCCTAGGCTTACAGTCTGAGTTTGCACTCCAGCCCAGCCCCTCCTTCTGCGCTCGGTAACCTGGAGCAAATCCTTTCTCCCCATGTATACCCGTTTGTGGGAAGATTTGGACCAGGTGGCATTCACAACCCCCACCCAGACAGTCTGAAATACAGGAGTAGAATCTCACTCCCAGGGAGCCCTCAGGGCCTTCGTCCAGTCCAGATAGAGAAACTGACAGCCAGATGGGAAAGAGACTGGCCCAGACTCATCTGGAAAAGCCAAGGGGGAAGCCAGGCTGGAGCAGAGGCGAGGGCCCACCCAGGTGTGTGATCAGAAGCAGACCTTGGGGGTGGGCAGGGGCAGAGGGGAAGGGGAGGCCAATAGGGGCTCAGCATCAGGTTAATATTCCCTCACTACTTCCTGTTGGGGAGCTGGTTCTGCCTCCCTGTGCATATTTTGCCATGCTACCAATCTCCCTGTGCCTTAGTGTTCACACCTGAAAAGTGGGATCTTAGAGCTGGAATTCCCTTTGAAGGAATCTAGTCCTTATCCGCTATAGGAATCCTTGCTCTAATATTCATTCCCACCAGGTAGTGTTACACCATATGTTTGCATAATTCCAGTGGTGGGGAGCTCACCACCTTTCATGGATGTAGGGAACCTTGGTGGCTGACTCTGAGTGCAGCTCGGGAGCCCATAGGACAGTGTGTCCTTCCTTCTCCAGAGATGGTGAGGCAGCAGGGCAGGGGCGTATACCCTTTATGTAGAAGGGGAGTCTGAGTGGCGGTCACTTACTGGGGGTGCACCTTGCTTGTGTCTCATATAGTAGTTGAATTAAATTCCACATGTTCCCCATCACATACTCTTTAGGGGACCCAACTAGCTGCCTTTCCTCCCTGTTCAGGTCTCTCTTGTTATGCTCAGTCCTCAGGGGCTGTGTGACTTGCCCAAGGTCACCCAGTAAGCTGACCCCAGGGCCTGGGAAAGGCCATGAGGAAGGCCGACAGGGTGAGGGCTCAGTGGCCTCTGGTCTAGCCTCCACCTTGGTCCATGCAGGAGCTGGAGCTGGTGGAGAGCCTGCTGAAGAGCAGACCAGAGGAGCCCGAGGGCTGCTGGGAGGCACGCAGCATGGGGGCCGGGGGCCCACGGGGCAGCTCATGCCGCCTGGAGCGCAGCCGGCTGCCCTGGGAGGACACAGCTGCCACCGAGGAGGACGCCTCCAAGTTGACCGCCCTGCGGCTGCGGCTGGACGAGTCCCAGAAGGTGCTGCTCAAGGAGCGAGAGTGAGTCTCAGGAGGTGGGCAGGGGCTAGGGGGCTGGACCAAACCACGCTGGGGTGCCCTCAGAATTATAGGGTGAAAATCGGTGTTACAGAGCATGAGACTTGTTAGGTGAAAGGTGGTGTTTAGGCTCCAGACTTGGAACTTTAGAGCAATGGTGCTCTACCTGGAGGACCCAACGCAAGTCTTTGTTTATTCAGTAATGTGTGTTAGGCGTCTGCTCTGGGCCAGGCACTGTGCTTGGTTCTGAGGATGCAGCCATAAATAAGATAAAAATCCCTGCCCTCGTGGAACTTAACATTCTAATTGAATTGAACTAGTGGGGAAGATTGGTGATAGGTGCCATGGGCAAAGAGTAAAGCAGGGAAGGGGGGATAGGGAGTGTCTTCGTTTCTTAGTGCTGCTACAACAGAAATACCACAAATGGATAACTAATGAACAGAAGTGTCTTTTCTCATAGTTCAGGAGGTTGGAAGTCCAAATTTAGGATGCCGGCTCTAGGGGAAAACTTTCTCTGTTCACTCGGGCGGGGGATCCTTGTCTCAGCTTCTTTAGCGTTTTTATTGGTGTTCTTGGAGATCTCCACATGGCATCTATCTTTTCCCCATTTAGGCTTCCTTGCTTCTGTGCCTAATCTGCTTTATATCTCAAAAGCAAGGCTTCAAACCGGTTCGAAATGGTTCAGTAATTGCCATCGATAATAAGGGTTGCGTACGTGTTGCATAGCAACCAAATCTGTTGCCCGTGGTATTTTGACCCAAGTAGGAAACAAACAGCTTTGCCCCGCTCAAAGATGGCAGCCAGCTGCGCTGGTTTGAGTGTGTGTCGCTCTTCACAGTCCTGCCAATAATGTTGCTGTTGAAAAGTCCTGCCACAGTCCTTCCTCCTGAAAGCTTCAGTAGTCTGAGGTGGGAGATTGGATTATTGGTAGGACTGTGGAGAGCAACACACATTCAGAGCAGCATGGTTGGTGGCCCTCTTTGAGCGGGGCACAGCTGTTTGTTTTCCCTACTTGGGTTAAAATACCACAGCAACAGTTTTGGTTGCTATGCAACGCATCCACAGCCCTCGCTTATGGCAGCAATTACTGAACCATTTTGAACTGATTAGAAGCCCTGCTCAAAAGTGATAGGTTTAAGATGCCCCCTACACTCCTATGACCTCATTAACATAGCAAAGAAAACCCTATCCCCAGATGAGATTACATCCAGAGGTATAGGGGTTAGGATTTTGGGAGGACACAATTCAACCCATAACAGGGAGTGTTGGTCGGTTGCTGCTGGGAATTAGATTTTGGAGGTGTCGGGTTTGAGATGCTGGGGAGGCAGTTGGACACATGAATGAGTTCATGAGACACATCTGGGCTGGAGGTAAAAATGCAAGAGTCATCAGCACAGAGATGGTATTGAAAGCCTTGGGCCTGGCTGAGATCAGGGCGTGAGTGTGCATAGGGAAGAGGCCGGAGGAGGAGCCCTGGAGTCCCCCAAAGTTTAGAGGTTGGTACAAGGAGGAAGCAGCAGCAAAGAAGACTGCGGTGTCGCCAGTGAGGGAGAGGAAAACCAGGAGCAGGGTGTCCTGGAGGGCAGGTGAAGAGACTGCTCATGGAGGAAGGAATGGGCAGCTGGGTCACATCACATGAGGACTGAGCACTGACCACTGGATTTAGAATGTGGAGGTCACCAGTGAATTAGGGCATCAGCCTGATTATAGTAAACATTTTCTAACAACCCCTTTCTATCCAGAAATTAAGTATGTAGATGGTATAGTTTACCTACAAACATTTTTTTCAAAAAATAAGCATAATGACCCAACTGGAATGTAAAGTAGTAGCAAAAGAAAAGCAATTTATAATAAAATATATGTGTGGAAATGCTTGGGCACAGCTCCACTAGAAGAAATGATGAAGTAGTTGGAATCCCATGCCTTTATATGGAATGATAGTGTATCCGTTTCTGGGGCTGCCTCAACAAAGCATCACACACTGGGTGGCCCAAAACAACCAAAACTTATTGTCTCACGTTCTGGAGGCTACAGGTCCAAAATCAGGCTGTCAGCCGGGCCACTCTCTCTCTTTCTCGTTCTCTGAAGGCTCTTCTCCTAGCCTCTGGTGGCTCCTGGCCATCCTGGACTTGTAGATGCAGTGCTCCGTTTCTGCCTCTATTACACGGCCATCCTCCCTCTGTGTCTCCGCTCCCCCTTTTACCAGGACACCGGCCCACCCTACTCCGACATGACCTCACGTCACCTCAACCAGCAGCATCTTCAAAGACCCTACCTCCAAACAAGATCACATTCACAGGCAGCGAGGGTTAGGACCCTAACACGTCTGTTTGAGGGACACAGTTCAGCCCATAACAGATGGCGATGATAATACCGATAGCAAACACTCCAGAGCACGTGCTCTGAGTCAGGTGCTGTGCTGAGGGCTTTACCTGTGTTCACTCATGTAAGTCACTTCGTGGGACAGCCACAGTGTGTGGGGTGGACAGCCAAATGCGTGAGTGGTGTTGCTGTGGGTGATGAGATTTCCTGAGAGATGGACAGCCTTTGGTATAATTCTGAACGAAGCAAAATGCAGACTTGCCTCATGTATGCAATAGTTCCTTCCCTGGAGAATAGCATATGCTAAGATGCAAACAGTGCTTTCTGGAAATCAGACAGAGGTTCTGGCCCAGAAATACGCAATGGACGTGCAGGCGGTACACAGGATGCAGGATGATTCCTGGGCGGATGGAATGTCCTGGGTGTTATAGGGTATCAGCACCCCCCCCTCAATAAATGACCCCCTAATCATTGTGACATCCAAAAATGTCCCCGCAAATTTCCAGCATACCTCCTAGAGGGTGACATTGCCTCGTCCGAGGACCGCATGGAATGTTAGGCTCCCAGAGAGGGAGACCAGGTGGAGTGTGTGTGAAGCACTGCATGCTGGAGTGGATAATACGCACAGCCACGGGCTGCACACCTACTGTGTGCTGGGGCCAGGCACTGAGCTCCTTAGCTGTGGTGCCTTATTCATGTTCAAGGCAAAGTGCAGAGTGGGAGTCATGATGGCAAGAGGGTGCCTCTCCCTCCAGGAACCACTGGGCAGTGTTTTCCAGCCTTTCTGACCATCAGACTGTGCATTCAAACCAAGCCTTACAGGGACCACAGTACATAAAGCAGATAGGAATGGGGCTCTACTTTACAGATGAGCCTGGGGCCCAGAGGGAGGGAAGGAGGTACTTGCCCAGGGATGGTCAGTGCCCTGGTGACCTGATCACCTCCCCACACTGTGGGCTGGGCACCTGCAGTTGAATGAGGGTGCAGCTCCAGGAGAAACGGGAGCCAGGGCACTTGGCGGTGTGGCATGCCAGGGTTCGAATGCCAAGGCAGGGACTTTGGACATGAGCTCAATAAGTGCAGGAGTGCCCGGCAGGACCCCCCTCAGTGCAGACTGAGCAGAGAGCCCCGGTGAGCTCATCCCCACGACTGTCCCTTCCTGTCCCCTCCCCCCAGGGATAAACTGGCTCTGAGCAGGAACATTGAGAAGCTGGAGGGGGAGCTCAGCCAGTGGAAGATCAAGTACGAGGAGCTGAGCAAGACCAAGCAGGAGATGCTCAAGCAAGTGAGTCTTGGAGACCAGGTGTGGCTTCCTGGAGATGGCAGCAGTGGGCTGTTGAATTTCAGCAGTGGGAATGGGAGAGAGGGAATTTATTCATTCATTCCTTCAAGCCATCCTTGAGAAGATATGGGGCACAGCAAATGTGAAAGGTCCTGGGGCAGGAACAAGCCTAGAGTGTGCAAGAAACAGATGGTCAGGTGTTTGGAAAGAAGTAAGTGAGAGATGAGGTCGCAAGAGGGGCTGGATCTCACCGGACCTTGTAGGCCGGGATAAGGGAGGGGAGTCTGGATGTAGCATTCATTGAGTGCCTAGTGTTTGCCACATCTCACTGAAGTTTCGTGGCACTCAGGGGAGCTGAGTTCTGACATTTCCATCTTATGGAGGAAGAAACTGAGGTTCCAGCTGGCAGAGAGAGGATTCCACCACCGCAGCAAGGGGGCTCTGAACAGGCAAAGGTCTGGCTGGGCCACTGCTGCTGCCTCCTGTGCAGGCCCTGATGGCCACCAGAGGGCGCAGCCACCCTGGGAAAGCCTGTGTTTCCAGAAGGTGGGAAGTCCTCAGACCTCAGCCTCAACTCTAGATTTTCCAGACCTGGTCTTATATTAGAATCTCTTAGGGAATCTCCTAAAATACAGATTCTCGGGCCCACCCTAGCCATCCTGAATCCCCATCTTTGGGGCTTGGGTCCAAGAATCTTTAATATTTTTCAGTTGTAAGGTATAATCATTTGCAGAAAAATGAATAAAACGTGAGTGTGTAATTTAGCAGATAATTATAAAGGTTCTCTTTTGTATCTGGCTTCTTCCCCTCAGCAAGTATTTTACACTCACCCATGGGGTTGCATGGAGCCCTACTTCGTTGGTTTTCCCTGCTGTACAATAGGGAATCTGCATGATTTGGAAGGCACCCCAGGCACTTCTGACAGCACCTGCCCTGCACCCTCATGCAGACCATTGTTTGGATCCACTGGATTCATTTAATTGGTGTATATTGAGGGCTACTCCGTGCCGAAGGAGCCCTGGTGGCACAGTAGTTAAGCGCTTGGCTACTAACCAAAAGGTTGGCAGTTCGAACTCACCCAGTGGCTCTGTAGGAAAAAGACCTGGTGATCTGCTCCTGTAAAGATTACAGCCTAGGAAACCCTGTGGGGAAGTTCTCCTCTGTCATATAGGGTCACTGTGAGTCAAAATGGACTGGACAGCACCTAGCAACAACAGTCTCTGCCAAGGCCTTATAGGGATTCCGAGGTGTATACACAGCCTGAGGCCCCTGTCCTCCAGGGCTCACATTCTAGTGGGAAGTGGGATGGAGAAGACAGGGAGCACCTCCTCTAGGCGGGTGGACAGGAGAGGGCTCCTTTAGGAGGCGATGTTTAGGCGAGGCCTCAGAATGAGAAAAGCCAGTCCTGTAAAACACCTCAGGAAGTGGTCCAGGCAGAGGGACCCGCATATGCAAGGGCCCTGTGGTGGACGGGAACTTGGTGTTTTCACAGGTTAGAAAGGAGGCCACTGTGCCTGGAGCAGAGGGAGCTAAGTGGGGAGAGGTGGGCAGGCATCCAGTCATGCAAAATTTTGTGAGACCATAGGGACGGGTTGGACTTTATCCTAAGGGACCCAGGAGCTATCTGAGGGGTTTTGAGGGGCAGGAATATGATTAAGTTTGTGTTTTTTAAGCTCACTCTGGGCTACTTCTGTGGAGAATGGGTTGGCAGGAGGGCAAGATGGTAATGAGGTGGGAAGTGAGAGATGTTGGTGGGGGCAGAAGTGCTCAGATTAAGGGCCTCTTTGGTGGTTTGGGTACCACCTCACCCTGCACCAGTGCCCACACCCAGAGCCAGTTCCAGAGGCATCCTGGAGGCCTCGCATAAGCAGCCAGGCTGTGTCCTTGCAGCTCAGCATCCTGAAGGAAGCGCACCAGGATGAACTGGGCCGCATATCTGAAGATCTGGAGGATGAGCTGGGAGCCCGGTCCAGCATGGATAGGAAGATGGCTGAGCTGAGGGGCGAGGTGAGGTGGCTGAGGGACCCAGGAGGGCCTAGGGGTCTGGGAATCCTGCTTCCATCAGCCAGTCACTGGGAAGAGGCCTGTGCTTTGAAGGGGGACCCCACCACAGCCCAAGGGCACCCCAGTCCGCCTGGGCAGGCCTCCCCCACACAGAGACCAGAAGCACCTTCGCATCCTGCACGCCATGCAACAAACCAGGTTAATTATAGCCGCTGCAGCTGGACCTGCTTCCTGGAGCCAAAAATGGCTCCAGGAGGGGTGGGGGGCGTCCAGCTCAGGCCCTTCCATGCCCCCTTCCCCGGGAGCCCTCACCCTGTCCCACCCTGCTGCAGATGGAGCGGCTGCAAGCGGAGAACGCAGCTGAGTGGGGTCGCCGGGAGCGGCTGGAGACTGAGAAGCTGGGCCTGGAGCGGGAGAACAAGAAGCTGCGGGCGCAGGTCGGAGACCTGGAGGACGCGCTGGCCCGCCGGCGGCGGCAGACCACCAGCGCACTGGACTGTGACCTGCGGGCCAGCCAGGCAGCGCTCTTTGAGAAGAACAAGGTGGGGCAGTGAGTTGGATAGCCAGGGCAGGGGCAGCCCGGCCTCCCTATCCAGCCAGGGCAGAGCACCTACTGTGTGTCTGACTCCAGCCCTCAGGGGGCCCTGAGGGAACAACTCTGAATCAACTAAGGACAAAGGAGTGATCATCCTAGAAGCTGCTCTCGCTCTTCCTGGACACCCCTGGGTGCTGGGCACAGTGATAATTACAGGAGCTGCATTTATTGAGCACCTACTGTATGCTGATCCTGGTGAAGATTATAACAGCTGCATTTATTGAACATCTACTGTGTGCCAGGCCCAGTGATAATTATAGTAGCAGCATTTATTAAATGCTCACTGCATGCCCGGGCCCAGTAGTAATTATAGTAGCTGAAGTTATCGAGCATTTACTGTGGGCCAGACGCGGTGGCAGTTATAGTAGCTGCATTTATTGAGTACTTATTGTGTGCCAGGCCCAGTGGTAATGATAGTAGCTGCATTTATTAAATGCCTACTGTGTGCCCAGGCCCAGTGGTAATGATAGTAGTTGCATTTATTGAACACGTACTATTGGCCAGGTCCTGTGCTAAGCACTTTTTGTCCCTTACATCACTTAACCCTTTCAACAGCCTTCTCATTCATTCAACAAATGTTTATTGAGCACCTTCTGTGTGCAGGCCCTGTTCTAGGTGCTAGAGACACAGATGAGGCCTGCACCCTCATGGAGCTGAGAGGGGGATGCAGACCTTGCTCTCTGTGTCACGCAGACACACCGATCAATCACATGGCTCCATGAATGCCAGCAGGAAGAGGGAATGCCAGGGTCCCTGACCTAGGCCCGGGGTCCTGGAAAGACTGGTGAGACAGTGACATTTGAGCCGAGGTCTCAGGGAAGAGCAGACATTCACATGGTGGTGAACCGATCTGGTGAAGGGGACGGGAAGGACGTTCCACAAAGGAACTGCGTGACAGGATGCCCCATGGGGAGAGGGACATGGAGCTTTGGAGGAACAAGGAGGCCAGTGTGGTTGGAAGGGAGTGAGCAAGGGGCGTGTGGTGGGAGACGAGGTGGGAGCTGTGGGCCATCTCTGAAGTTCGGAGCAGGAGGGGTGTGAGTAGGTTTACATTTCCAGTGCTCACTGGCCTGTCTGTGGAAGGCAGATGGGAAGGCAGGCCAGTGGAGAGGCTGTCGCTGCTCTAGGTAGCAAGAGATGATGGAGGGGTGGACCAGGCTGAGGTTGGTGGAGATGGAGCAAAGAGGGTGGATTCAGGAGACCTTTAGGCAGTGTCTATCCCCATTTTACAGATGTGGAAACTGAGGTGGGCATCTCCTTTGCTGGCTCCTCATCCTCTTCCCAGCCACCCTGGCCTCAGGCCTCTTCTCCCTTCTCCTCTCCTTTACACCCGGGCCCCAGCTTAGCTCATCCCCAGGCCCAAGGCTTGAAATACCACGTACATACTCCAGGTTCATCCTTCCCCTGAAATCCTGACTCTTAGCTCCAGGGCATGTTCTATAGGCATCTCAAAGTTATACATCCAAATGGAACCACTGATTGCACCTTCCCGGTCCTCTCCTTTTACTGCCCACCAGGTCTTCTCACCTCACTGGATGGTATCTACCCTCCAGCTACTTAGCCACACCTGCCTCCTCTCTCCCTTACCCCCTCCCGTCTCCAGTCCATCTCCAGAGTCCTCGACTCAGTTTCCAGAACGTGTGCTGAATCCAGCCAGTTGTCATCATCTCCATGGCCACCACCCTCATATATACCATCTCCTGCCTGGACCACTTGGCAGCTCCCCACTGGGCTCCCTGCCTCCTCTCTTGTTCCATCTCTTCTAAGCACACCAGCCAGGCATCTTTTCAACATGTCCATAAGATTTTGTCACTCCCACTGCACTTAGAGTAAAACCCAGAGTCCCTCCAAGGCCTCCAAGGCCCTGGGCAGCCACGGCAGCTTCCTTGTCTCTCACTTCCCCCTGCTCATTGCCCGCCAGCCACAAACCCACCAAGTTCATTTCTACCTCAGGGCCTTTGTACTTGCTCTGCTCCCTGTCTGGAATGCTTTTTCCATCTCTGCAGGCTCTCTCTCACTTTACTCCGTGACCTCCTTTCAAGGTCACCTCCACAGTGACCCCTCCGACCACCTGTCCAAACTACCAGCCGTTGCCATGCCGTCTCTTTGTGGCCCTGCTTTAGTTTTTTCAGAGCAGTTGTTACTACCTGACATTGTGTTACTTATTTGCATGTGTTCATTGTCTTTCTCCCTCAGTAGATTGTGAGCTCCATGAGGGCAGGGCCTCTGTCTAGGTCTCCTTGTATCTGCAGGCACATTGAGGGTGCTGGGAGAGGGTATATTGAATGAATGAAGGAGGCCAGACTTGAACCCAGCCCTCTCTGACTCCAGAGCTGAGCTCTTTACCACCCGTGGACTTTGGAGGCAGGAATGAGTCATTCCACCTGGGGATTCGGGTTGTCTGAAACAGAACGTTCCAGTGGGACTTGGAAGAACAGATGTTGACAGGTAGAGTTGAACAAAAAGGCATAACTGGCAAAGGGGACTGCATGAGCAGAGACCCAGAGGGGCAAGGACACAAGGAGGTCTGGCAGAGGTCCTGGGCAAAACCTTGCCAGGCCAGTTAAGATGGACCTGGGCCCATCCCGTGGTGAATGGTAAGGGCTACCATGAGCCTGTTTCCCTCACCCTTGGCCTAGAGCCCCCTTTGTCAGTGTTGAGCAAGTTTATGTGAAGACCTAGAAAAGGTTGGGTTGGGTCACCATGAGCTCTTGAGGCAGGTAAGGCAGTCTTCCTGGAGGAGGTGTTGTCATGCATTACCCCTCCCAGGAGTCCTTACACTCCATGGGGCCTTTGATGCTATAACCTAGAGGCAATGAACTGTAACACTGCTATTTCAGACAGTAGGTGGAAAGATTCTGGGGAGTGGGGACACCCAGCACCCCTAGAACTGCCTGACCCCCTAGGACTCCCTGGCATGATGCCTGGTGTGACACTGAGCCTTCCTTACCCCATCTATGCTCCCCTGCAGGAGCTGGCAGACCTGAAACACGTGCACAGCAAGCTGAAGAAGCAGTTCCAGGAGAAGGTGGCAGAGTTGGCACACGCCAACCGGAGGGTGGAACAGCACGAGGCAGAGGTGAAAAAACTGCGTCTGAGGGTAGAAGAGCTCAAGAAGGAGCTAGCCCAGGCTGAGGATGAAGTAAGTACCTGGTGGGGCCCAAAGGGTGGCCTTCAGACCTTGGCTGAGAGAGCAGTGGGGGCTGCAGAGCCCCCCTATGTTGCATGTGATGGGTCACCAGTGCCTGGCACAAGCCTGCCTCTCAGGAGGTGCCCAGGGTAGAGTGGGTGAATGGGAAAATGGATGGATGGTAGGATAGTGTGTGGGCAGGAGGGTGGGAGGAAAAATGGACAGACAAGGTGGATGAGTGAGTGAGTAGATTAATGGATGGATGAATGGGTGGATGTGTGGATGACTGAATGGAAGGACAGAAGAATGACTCCATGGATGGATGAACAGATGGATGAAGGAGTAGGTGGGCAGATGGTTGGGGAGAGAGGAGGTAGGGAGGGGAGAGAGGGTGGATGGATAAGGTAGCAACAGATGTCTGATGGGTGATTGGATGGATGGATGGATGAATGGAAGGTGGATGGATGGATGATTATATGGGTATATAGAAAGATGGATGCCTGGGCAAGTTAATGGAAAGATGGACAACTGACTGAATCAATGAATGGAAGAATGAATGGACAGATGAAGGAAGGACAGATAGATGAGAAGATAGCTATGTGGCTAGGAGAGTGGAAGCATATATGGAATGACAGGGTAGATGGTAGCTGAAGAGATTAATGAATGGTGAGTGGGTGGGTGGGTATCTCCACGGGCAGATGAATGTCTCCATGGATGAGGTCAGATGAACAGATTTATAAGGATAGATGCATAGGTGAGTGGTGGGTGGATGGATGGATGAGTAGACTTGGCAGGGATGGAGATGAGCAAAAGCTAAAGGAGGTGGGCCTTGGTCTAGGCCCTGAAGGAAACACAGGAATTGCTCTTGGGGGAGGACATCCTTACTGAGGAATGGTAGGAATGGCTGGTCGTGGATGGATGGCAGACCAGCTGCCCCAGCCCAAGGTGACTCCCATGCTCTTGGCCCTGCTCACCTGCAGCTGGACGAGGCCCACAACCAGGCACGCAAGCTGCAGCGGTCACTGGACGAGCAGACAGAGCAGAGCGAGAACTTGCAGGTGCAGCTGGAGCACCTGCAGTCCAGGTAGGTCCCGGAGTGCAGCCCAGGTGGTGGGCCTGGTGTTCCTGCAGGGAGAAGGTCCATAGCTGGGCCACAGATACAGGGCAGAGAGACTTCCAGCGAAGGAAACCTCCCTGTCAGGGGTGGGGCCCCAAACTAGGGCTAGAAGGAGGAGATCTGGGCCCCCAGGCCAGGATCCTGTTCCCTCAAGGCAGGAAGGGATGGGGCCAGGGACCAGGAAACCAGGGAAGGGGGAGTGCAGGAAGTCAGAGCAGCTGGGAGCCTTGGAATTGTCTCCTCCAGCAGGCAGGTGGGTGGGTGATGGGAAGGCAGGAAGGACAGACAAAGGCCAGGCCCAAGGAGTGGGGGCAGTGGGTAGGGCCAGTGGGTCATTGACAAGAAGAATAACGGGCTGGGGTGACCCCGTGCCAACTGGGATCTGAGAGGTTGGAGGGGACTGGACCCCTGCTCTGCTCCAGACAGGACCAGTCAACCTCAGTGAGGGAGGACAGGAGGGCGTCTGGAGGGCTCATCCATCACACTCCACCTCCCTCCCCTGTCCCTCCCTTGTCCCTCCCCCTGCCCCCAACACCTTGCAAAATCCCACCCTCTGTGCACCCCCATAGAGCTAAGAGATGTCAGAGAACATCGAGTCCAAGCCCCTCCCCACTTCACATTCCAGAAGCCTGGGCAGAATCACAGGCACAGCCCTGACTGACACATCCACGCCAGGCCTGGCCAAGTACTCACTTACATTCTCTCCTTAGTGGAATCGAGGGCCCTCTGACGAGCCCAGGCTCTGCAGCCAGACTGCCTGGTCAGGGGCGTCCTGGCTCTGTATTTAGGAGCTGTGTGGTCTGGGGCCGTTTATTTAACCTCTCTGTCTCAGAGTTTAGGTTCCTCGTCTGTAAAATGGGGCTGATAATAGTTCTTACCTCTTAGTTGTTATGAGGATTAAATGAGTTGATCATGCTCATAAAAGTACTTGGTGCATAATAAATGTTGAAGAACTGTTGGCTGCCGCCATCATCATCATCATCATCGTTAGTGTTGCTACTGTCACCACCAACACAATCACTCCTGGGGGCAGTCGGGCTTATATTTGGGTCACATACCGTGCTGCAGGCATCACGCCCTCTGTGTGAGAGAAGGGGAGGGAGAGCTGTTGTGTCTAGGGGGCTGGCAGATGAGGAAGCTAGGGCACGAGAGGGCACGTCCTTCCACGGCCACACAGCTGGTGGGTGCTAGGCAGGATCGCCCCCTCTCCTCCCGTGATCTGCCGTCTGCTCCTCATCTAGTGAGCATTTGCTCTGTGCTCCTGTGGACTGAGATTCTGTGGCTCTGCACATGGGCTTTGGAGCCAGACTTAACAGCTGTGTGACATAGCCAGCCACGCCTCAGTTTCCCCATCTGCCAAATGAGGCTTGTTGTAAGAACTGCCTGGGATGATATTCTTAGAGTGTTGTGCAGGGGGCCCGGCATGCATCTGAGTCAGGCTCTGTGTCTGGCTGGCTCTGCCCACTCCCACCCCCCGGCACACACCCCTGCGTAACCTCAAGGCTTTCCATAAACTCCCAGAACGGACAGGAAGGCTCTGCTGGGCCTCTCAAGGGCTTCCATCGGGAAGGGCGAGGCCCCCAGGACTGCTGCCTGCTTTTATTTTCCAACGTTTTTGTGCTTTAATGTTCTGAGGACAGCTCGCTAAATCATGGCACAGTAATGGAGGCCCTCGCCTGGGCCCCTCCCTGCCCTGTTAATAATTCATGTCTTCCAGTAAGATGCAGCCAGGATTGTAACCAATGGCACAGAACACTTTGTATAAGAATTGATAAAGGGGAACCTAATTTGCTGTGTGAACTTTCACCTAAAACACAGTCGAATATTATTTAAAAAATAAAAATAGATTAAAAGATGTAGCCAGGGTGGCCACCGTGCTGGGAGGGTGGGGGCTGGGCATTTCCTCTGCCAGCTCTTCTCAGAGCCCAAGTTTGCCTCATAAATTTTGGCTGTAGGAATTTTAATGTGAGGAAGAGCTTGAGCCCTCAGGAAACTGAGCGCTTTCTCACTGATGTTGGGGTTGCGAGAGGCACACACCTCCAACCCCAGACTCTGCTCCCTGTGGTCTTTGGAGCCAGGCTTGTGTTCAAATCCCAGCAGGGTGACCCTGCACCAGCACCTTCTCCTCTGTAAGCAACCTGGTCCACTCCTGAGCCAGCTGCTTGAATTTGAAGCCCAGCCCTACTACCAACGTCTATATGACTTTGAGTAAATTACTCAACTTTCTGTGCCTCAGTTTCCTTGTCTGTAAAGTGGGTTGACAGTAGCACCTCCTTCAGATAAGGGGCTGCTGAGAGGATTCTGTGAGATGAGATGGTGTGTGTAACTTAGCATGGTGCCTGGCCCCAGGAAGCATTAGGGAAGGCGTAGCTGCTATCAGCACGAGCAGCAGCAACGTTATCAGGAAGGCAGCGGGGCCAGACTTGAGCTCTGACCTCCTGCCACTCCCCACCCCCACAGGCTCCGCAGGCAGCAGCAGAACGCCCCCCTCTTCGGGAAGATCCGTAGCACTCGTTTTGGCACCGAGGAGGCTGGGGACGGAACCAGCGACCTGGACGAGGACGAGGACCTGCAGATCCAGGTGGCCTAGAGCCCCGCAGGGCTGGGCAGGGCTGGCCTGTGGCCACAGGTGCCCCAGATGCCCAGGCTGACCAGCCACTCGAACTGATGCAGCTGCCTGTTGCCCGCTCTGGACCAGATCCCACCCCTGCCACACAAGACTTCCTTCTCTCCCAGGGTTGGCGTTGGTGGTTCTACCCACCAACACCCTGTGGAAGGGAAGCCACAGCCTACACTATATATATATTATATATATGCCCAGGGTCCTTGGACCCATTTGGTTTTATAAACACAAGACCGCTCCAAGGCCCATTCCAGGTGCCCCACCCACCGAGGGCCCTCTGCAGGAGGTGGGGGGATGGCAATGGGGGGCCGTCCATAATGGAATGTGATAAACCCAATGCTTTATAATAAATGGAGTTCAGGTTCTCAGGGCGGAGTCCTGAGAAGGTGGCAAAGATGGGCAGAGGATGTGGGGGAACAGCATTAGCTTACGTCTGGCACGGAGCCAGTGCTCAGAAATGGGGAGTGACAATAAAAGAATGCATGTGTGAAAGAATGAATGAAAGAGTGTCTGGGTGCAGAATAGTCTGGAACCCAGCTCATGTGACAGGGAGGAGCAAGTATGAGGCACATCTGATCTGGAGAAGAGGATACTTCAATTCAGGGCGTACAGGCTCTGGCACCCGATAGCCTAGATTCAGATCTCTGCCTTTTACTGGCTGTGCAACCTCGGGGCAGTTACTTGCCCTCTCTGAGCCTCATTTTCTCCATCTGCAAGTTTGTTGTCTCAGAGCTGTCATGAGAATGAGTTGAGTTAAGGCTTAAGGTGGTGGTTAGCTGCTGTCGAGTTGGCTCCCAACTCATGGCAATGCCATGCGTGATGGAATGAACTGCTGCCCAGTCCTGCAGCAGGTTGTGGATCAGACCATTGTGATCCATAGGGTTTTCATTGGCCAATTTTTGGAGGTAGCTCTCCAGGCCTTTCTTCCTAGTCTTGTCTGGAAGCGCCACTGAAAGCTGTTCAGCATCACGTTGTTGTTAGATGTCTTCGAGTTGGTTCTGACTCATAGCAACCCTGTGCACAACGAAACGAAACCCTGCCCGGTTCTGCACCGTCCTCAGCATCACAGCAACACACAAACCTCCACTGACAGATGGGTGGTGGCTGTGCCTGAGGTGCATTGGCTGGGAATTGAACCCAGGTCTCCCACATGGAAGGTGAGAATTCTACGATTGAACCACCACTGCCCCCCAATAAAGGTTCGTCATTGTTAGAAGGTGTGCCCTGGAAAGGAGGGACTCACTAGGTGGGTTCTGCCCCAGAGCATGCAGCCCAGGAGACTGATGGAAGTTTACCCAGAAGTAGGTGTGATAGATAATAAATCCTTTCATCTTTCCGCCGGTCCTGCTCTAGGTAGTGAAATTACAGGCAATTTTAATTTTATTTTTGATATTTCTAAACCTATAACCAGCAGATTTATATTAAATTTCATGGAAATGGTTATTAAAAACAGCATTTTGAAATCTTTGAAAGTTGAGGTGGCATTCGGGGCACCTGCCTTTCTGATCAGATGCGTCAGGTGAGTTATCGGCACGGGGCCCCCTTTCTGCAGAAGGAGGCACTAGGACTGTGCTAGCATGGGGGTGGCAGCGTGTTGCCCGTGTCCAGGGGGTACAAGGAGGGCCTGGGCTCTGAGCAGGAGCCTGTGCCAAAGGGTCTAAATTCAGTTGATAAAGGACCCTCTGCTGGAGGTGGGGGCTGTACTAAATGACTATCTCCGTGTGGCGCAATCATGACGGACCTTTGAAGCCACAGTCCTGGGACCCAGTGGGCATCATGAGCCTTGGAAGCTGACAGGGGAGAAGAGCTAGCTCCAGGAGCCCAACTAGGGGCTAATAAGCAGGGGTGTAGAAAAACTTTCCCTGTCACCAAGCTTAAAGCAATGCTAGTCAGAGTGGGCTCTGCTGCCATGGCAATGAGGCCCCAGTCCCCCTCCTGGGTGCCCAGGGGTAAGGGAGGAGGATTTGAGACAGAACCATGAGGACCCTGCCCCACCATGGGTCTCTCCCACAGAGCCAGCGGAAGAGGGCCGTGGGAAGAGGACCATTTCCTGCCAGGGGTCGTTCTGTTTACCAGACAGGAAGCTGCCCCCAGAACAGGCTGAAATGCTGCCCTTTGACCCTCAGGAGCCAGGCCTTCACTGACAGCAGACTTGAGAGCCACCTCCCCAGGCCTCCGGCTGACCTGACTGTTCCGAGACACAGAGCAGACCCCATCCAGCCCGGCTAGGCTCCGCCAGACTCCCTGGCACCTCCGGCAAGATAGTGTCGAGCAGAGACCTCATTCCAGGTCCCCAACTCCGGGCGGGGCTGCTCCTGAGAATGTCAGTGAGGAGATGGGCCAGCCTCCCACCTCCATTGTACAAGAGCAAACTGAGGTCTCCAGAGTGGAGGGTCGGCCTCAGACACAGGGTTTGATGATTATTTGGGCCTGGAATGCATGCCCCTCCCCGCTGACTGCCCTTCCGTCGCTCCCCTATAACTGCAGCAAAAGTCACACAGCGGCTGTGGTCATTGTGGTCAAGGTGGCAGCATCTGCCAACAGAAGCATTAGTTTTGACTCACATGATGCTTTGAAAACTTTTTTAATGCATTGCTAATATTAGTAATGGGAGATTTTCCCATAAAAATCAGGATTTCCTTCTCTTGAAAAGTTGGTACCCACTGGCCACAGCTGAGTGGCAGCTGCCCCCTAATACTGGGCACTGGTACCCCGGTGCACCGCAGTCCCCACCATTCCCTAAAGTCTGACCCTGGGCCTACCTCACTCGTTTCTCTTCCTGCCTAGCACCTGGAGGCATTGGAGTTTTTTTCCCCTGGCTTAATCCAGTGTCTCTGAGCAGACAAGGAAACTGACAGGAGGCGCGAGCCTAAAGTCAGAGTCTGAGGTAGAGTCAGGCCCGGTACACACACCCTAGTCCAAAGCTCCGGCAGGCTCCTGGTTGTTGCAGGGGTAACTGCCAAGAATAGTTAATGTTTATTGCGCTATACTGCCTGCTTCCCATGCAGCTCACTGATGATTCTCAACAGCCCTGGGAGGTGGGGACTACCATCATCCCATTTCACGCTGAGGGTTGGAGACTCAGAGGCAGCAAGTAACTTATCCCCAGGTCACACAGCTGGTTAGTGGTGAGGCTGAGATTCCGGTTCAGGCAGTCTAAGGCCAGAGCCCAGACTCCTGACTATGACCCCAACCTCCCACCACACCCAGCCCCTGCAAAGCACGTCCCTGTGTGGCTGGCCCCTGTCCTCCTCTGAAATCTCTACAGATCCTCTCACCAGTTACCTAGAATGCCCTTTCCTCATCAAAGTCCCACCAGCCCTTCAAATTCAGCCTACTTGGCTCATTCTAGAGTGTGAGTTGTCAGCTTATCTGCTTTTCTTGCCTCACCAGCTGCTTCTGGAGGGCAGAAAATCTTCCAGAAGCCAGCACCGTGCCCTGGGCCTAGTAGGCATCTTAAGTGTTGGAAGGGAAGAACAGAGGGAGGGAGGGAAGGAAGCAGGGTGCGTGGGTGGGATGGTAGAAGCTGAAGTCAGACCTACCACCCCCCTCCATTGCAACACCTGCCAGACAGGTCCTAGACCACCCTTTCTGCTGGTCAGCTAAGTCTTCCTCCTCGAGGGGAGTGTAGAAGTCTCTCAGGGCAGATAGCCCAGGTCCCAGGGGCAGCAATGCCAGGGCCCCTCCTCATAGGCCTCAGTGCCCAGACAGGCTGGAGAACCGGCTGGGCCAGACACCACCCCGCCCAGCCCCTCCTTCCCTTCAGGGTGAAGGCCAGGGGGCCCTGGACTCTGTTCTCTGGAAGCACAGGTTCCCCTCAACATCCACCCAAGGCTGTCTTGCCCACCGTGATGCCACCAGGCAGCCCCTCAGCTTCCCTGTCTTGAAATCCATGCCCAGGTGTGAGCCTTCCACATCCCAGTCCTCCAGACAAACCCGGCTTCCGGTCCCAGCCTGGTTTCTGACTGGCTTGTGTCTTCTGGCAAGCTCCTGTCCCTCTCTGGGCTTTAGTTTCCCAAGCTGTGAAATGGGTACAGCAGTACTGGTGGCACAACAGTTAAGCACTCAGCTGCTAACTGAAAGGTTGGCAGTTGGAACCCAGCCAGCAGCTCTGCAGGAGAAAGTCCTAGTGATCTGCTCCTGTAAAGATTACAGCCTGGAAAACCCTATGGGGCGGTTCTACTCTGTCACATGAATCAGAATTGACTCGACGGCAGCTAATAACAACAACAAAATGAACACAGTCGGGCCAAGTGAATGGCCAAGTCCACACCAAATAGCATCTCTTTTACTTTTGGTATATTTTTCTGGCTTTCCCTGTTGCTTTGCATCCCCTCCCAAGACCCCAGTGCCTTGCCTGCCTGGGGGCCCACCAGCCCCCTGGGCATCCCTCTGAGGCAGTAGGCGGGGGATGGGAGGCAGAGGCAGCGCCCAGGAAACCAGCTGCAACTCTCAGCCCCTCTCCCTGCCACCCAACTCCTCTGCCTACTAATTGCAGGGTTGCAAGATGTCAGCTGCCTCCCAGGCCCCAGGCAGGTGCCTCCCAGTGGGCCAGGGGCTCCCTGGAAAGCCTCCCAGTCTTCCACAGGCCCCACAGACTCAGCTGGGCTGGGGAGGGAGGAAGGGAGATTTCTCCATGGTGCCCAGACTCCCCCTACCCTGGGGAGGAGGCTTGGAAAGGTATAAATGTGAAATCTCCCTCCACAGCTCCCCTATTCCCCAGGCTTCCCCCAATGCTAAGTCTGCCCATGCCGCCCTGCTCCTACTCAAGAACTAACCATGGTTCCCCAGTACTGGACAAGTCAGGTCCTGCATCCATATCCTGGCACATGGGGCGTTCCAGGCTCAGACCCTTGAGCCCACTCCCCCTGGCCTCAGCTCCCTGTTCCTCTAGAATTGTCAAGACAGATCTCTTGCCGCAGCCTCTCTCCCTCCTTCCCCAGCACCGTCTCTCTACCTGCCCTGTGGCCTGAGCACCAGTGTCCTGTTCAGACTGATGATAGACAACTCCACAGTGATTTGGGGATGTGCTTCATCTGTCCCCACCTAGACCTCAAGCTCTCTGAGGACAGGGTCCCTGGCTTTGGAAATCTAAGTCTCCCCGGAAAGGACAAAGAGTATCATTTGGGAGTGTGTGCTACCCATGTGTCATTTGATTTTAATCTGAACAACCCAGTAGATGGGCAATGGCAAGGTGAGGAAACTGAGGCCCAAAGAGGGAAGGGAGCAGCCAGTAAGAGGCAGGACTGGGATTTGAATCCAGACAACCCTGCAGGCCAGGCATTTTCAGCTATAGCACTCTGCCCCGGTGCTCAGAGACGTTGTTCTGTAAATGTTCGTAGAAGGAGGAAGGAGAGAGGGGGATGAGAGAGCTCCTGATCGACTGAACAGCTGTCATCAACCCCTCTCCCCTCTGTCTCATCCAGAGCCTCACTTGGCCTTCTAACACAGGCATGTCGAAGTTAGCATCCTTATTACCTAGATGAGTAAACTGAGGTCCAGAGAGCAAAGTGGCTGCTCCCAGGGCACCCAGCAACCGTGTCCTAGGA